CCTCATCCTTCTCCTGCGGAGCAGCTGGCAGGCTCAAACCTCAGTCCTCATAGTTCGCTTACCATCTGGAACCACAGTGCTCCCATCTAATGTCTGCATCCCTTTATAGGAAGGCAAACCTAATCTATAGTATGTACTTATGCATGATTCGTTGTTAAAAGGACAACAAAGCTCTTTGCCAGTGGCTGAAGGGATGGAACTAACTGCCCTAAGTGCTGCTGACAGGAACACCATTGGTGACTGCCTGTTAGTGTGTCACCACCTAAGCCCTGAGGGTATCCTTGCAAGACAAGCAGCCGAAATGGTTGTGTCCTGTTCAAGGGGGCTTTGAGGGAAATTGTGAGTCATTGGGTCTCCCAGATTTGCTAAGCAGCAGCCACGGGGCATAAGTGGTCCAGGCAGAGCATGGTGAAAAGTACAGCGAGGCCACCCAGCTACTCATTGGAGGCATCAGTGGATGGTGCACAGCTTCATATTCCAGAAGATTGGAATGTTAGTGCTAACAGCTGTGGCCAGTAGATTTGTCCTCCTTCAGCTTGCAAGCCACACTGGTTACATCATGGTTGACTGACAGCGAGTAAAGAAGGATATGAAGAAAGTCAAGGAACAGATGGAAATCCATAAAACTAACCAAATACCAAATGTAGTCGAGAGCAAAGCTGAGGAGGTGGTATTGTTTATGAAGAACGTCCTTGGACTGGGGACATTTCTGGAGGCTTTCTACTGGGAATGGCATCCTAAGGCGGACAACTTCTGTGTTGTTTTCTTCCTTCATCAGAATGTGTCCGTTGTCTTTTTCTTTTCAGAACCTTCTACACGCCAGCCAGCGTAGGACACTGATGCTCTCATCTTCCTCTCTTCCTGTGCCTTCCCCCTTACACAACAGGCTCAAATAGCTTTCTGATGATCCTAGTTAACTTAACTATGACCCTAACTGGAACTTGCTGATGATGGAAGAGAAGACACACTTTACATTATCCTTCTAGCACACCTCCATTGTGTCTAGTCTATAGAAAAGAAAACTACTTTTTAAAAGAACTCAAGAGTTGATAAGAGTATACCACCCTTGATATAATCTAAAAACAAAAAATGGCACTTAACCTCTGTGGTCTTCCTCTCAAAAACCCATAAATAAACCTGGCTTAATCACGAATGAAATTCCACTAGGGGTTGTGGCTGTTGCTACATGCTGTCAAATCAGTCCTGACTCACAGTGACCCTGTATAGGGTTTCCAAGGAGTGGCTGGTGGGTTTGAGCCATCATCCTCATGGTTAGCAGTCCAGTGCTTACCCTACAGTGCCACACCAGGGACTCCTAATAGAAGTGATTGTTGTTAAGTGTCATCTAGTCGGTTCTGACTCATAGCAATGCTGTATAGGGTTTGAGAGGAGCATCTAATGGGTTTGAACTGTTAACCTTGTGATCTTCAGTCCAGTGCCAATCCTATAGCTCCATGTATCCTGTAAAATGCTTGACCAGTATGCTTAAAACTGGCAAGATCATCAATAACTAGGGATGTCAAGAGGTGCCTAAGGAAACAGAACAGCTACCCTAGAACAGAAACTTAGGCATTAGGCAAAAAGTAAGGAAATTTGGATAAACTATGGACGTTAGTTAATAATAATATATCAGTATGGGTTCATCAGTTGCAACAAATGCGACATACTAATTTAAGATGTTAATAGCAAAAAATATGGAAGATGTTAGTACAGAAACATATGGGAACTCCTTATATGGTCTTCTCATTTTTTCTGTAAATCTAAGTGTTCAAAAAACTGTAATCTATTTAAAAATAAAAATAGTATCTTGGTTAAAAATTTTATTACTCTTCAGTTTTCTATGACTCCTAATGAACTATGTTATAATATATATGATGGTGGTGGTGCCTGTGTGCTGTGGAGTCGGTTCCGACTCATAGTGACCCTGTACAGGGTTTCCGAGGCTGTAAATCTTTACGGGAGCAAAAAGCTTCATCTTTCTCCGGCAGAACAGCTGGTAGTTTTGAACACATGTATGTGTAAATAAAGTATATAAGTATACACAAGGAGTCTTCAAAAAGTTCAAGGAAAAGTGGAATTAAAAATAATGGAATATTTCTACAAACCTTTTAAAGCTCCCTTATATTTGTAAATAAAGAGAGAAAGAACAAAATATTAGGTTGGTTTCTTTTTAAATATTAAATATAAATATGCTACATATTTTTAGATATGCATAACTTTTGTATATGTAATATGTATGGTGCAAGTATATCTAAATATATAGTTCACCTATTTAAACCTCTTCTACTTAATCAAGAGCTATAAAAGAACAATGCATCTTCCCATAGTGTGCAATGTGGGAACTAACTTTAAGCAGGAAGCTCATTTTGCTCAGGTAACAAATCATGCATCCCTAACTCTTTTCTTACTGAATGCTGACTTTTGAAATAGCACATACTCTACTCCTACAGGGAGCCAACTAAGAGAGCAGAGAAAGTACTTGATAAAATAATTGTCTTTTCTTTCCTCAAAAGGGAAAAATCCATTGCTAGTGACCAAGCATAAGGCTCACTCCTGAGTCCTGTGGAAGTCAGTTCCCCTTAGCCAAATAAACTGTAGTCTCTTATGAAGCCTGCTGAGAAGACCAAAGGGAAAAGGCATTCCACTTGTTAAATGTTTATTATTTGAGCTTAGCAGCCAACTATAATAAGAGAGAGAGAGGAAGCTGTCTGCAAGCTGCATACAGATTTAGCTACTCAAATCCCATGAATGTAAAAGAGAACACTGAGGCTAAACTGTTGTAATTTACTAGGCAGTAGCTTAAGGGAGGTGATAGTTGGTAACATAAGCTTGGAGCCACCGACATTTAGGTTAGCGATTTGAAAGCAGCTCAAGTTAACAAGAACTAAAATTCTCAACACCTGAGAAAATGTGCTCTTATTCTAACAATCATAATCCACTAGGGAAAAAAAAAGTACAAATCTCTTCTCTCACACATCTCTCTAAATTTGATCTGAGAATAAACGTCTTTAGTTTTCCTCAAAGCAGAACGTATTAAAATGCAAGGGAGAGGAATGACTGTAAGTTAAATGTCTCTTTCCCTTACTCTGTATTTCATTGGCTGTCGTGCCTCAGTGACTGCCACTCTGCATTTCCTTCGGCACAGTTAACCTCCACTCTCAGCTGAATGGCTGTCATTCCTTTAACTACAATAGCAATGTGCTGTCACAGGTTTAATGAGTACCCATAGGAATATGCTTTCAATTTCTATAGGATTTTGGCTACATTGTCCTAAGTAAAAAGGGCAAAATTAGTAGAATGTATTTAATAGACATCATGTTGAAGTAAGTTTACTTCAAAAGATAAACATTTATATAGAAAATTTATTAGTTACCTAATTCTCAGGTCGACTATAGAAGAAACAAAATGAAATAACAAATTTAAGGGGGGAAAAAAAAAATCTCTTTGTCATGCCTAAATCTGCAATCCTCAAAAATAAGAGGTATGAAGAAAATGAGATTTGAGGCAAAAAAAAATTTCACTTTCATGCAACATGAACAAGCAGAAAAGAGGGTCAGCACCTGAGATTTTAGGGTTCACATACTGGTTCTACAGCTGTCTCTGTCTTCCCAGACAGAGAAGGTCAGCACTCGGAGCCCCAGGTTTCCCAACTCTAAAATGAATCCGAATAGAGCCTACAGTTTTCTAACTAACGTTGGATGAGGATCAAGATTTTTTTTTTTTTTTGACAAATTATGCTTTGAATTAAAAATAGCTTAATATACATTTTGATTGACAATAAGTAATAATGCTCTCGGGTTGCTAATCTCAAGGTCAGCAGTTCGAAACTACCAGCTGTTCCGCGGGAGAAAGATGAGGCTTTCTGCTCCCATAAAGATTTACAGCCTCGGAAACCCTGTACAGGGTCGCTATGAGTCGGAACCAACTCCACGGCACATAACAACAACAACACAATACAGACTAGGACATATCTCGCTTTTTAAAAAACAGAATCACATTATCGAAGCAAATAACTTCTAAAATCTATTATAGAGCAAACTTCAGGAAAATTGCATATCTGTATCTAGTTGTCTGGAGTCCTGTTATGTCTCTGTAGGATAAGCACTGAACTGAAAAGTTGGTATGAATTGCAAGGTCGGCAGTTCAGACCCACCAGCGACTCCTCAGAAACCCTACATAGGGTAGCTATGAGTCAGAACCAACACAACAGCACTTACAGCAACAATACATTTAGTTGTATAATACCTGAAGTACAAAAAATAGTAAATTCCTCCTTTGTATTTCAAATATAACACTTAGCACCTAACACTTGTTGTTGTTGTTGTTGTTATGTGCTATGGAGTTGATTCGGACTCATAGAGACCCTGTACAGGGTTTCCAAGGCTGTAAATTTTTACGGGATCAGAAAGTCTCATCTTTCTCCCATGAAACAGCTGGTAGTTTCGAACAGCTGACCATGAGATTAGCAGCCCGATTCATAACTACTATGCTTGCTTACAAGTGCTTAAACGTCTTCCTATCCTCAGACAAAACATAAACCTCTATTGGGAAAGACCGCTTCTATCTCATCTTTGTACTCTATTCCCACAACCTTGCATAGAACCTTCCACAAAGCAAGTGCTTCAGAAATGCAATTCTCTCATTCATTCATCTTGTAAGTGTTGAGATACCTAAAATTTGTTCCCTCTTCCACGACCAGTGTTCCACTAGGAACATTAAAGCTCCTGCTTCCATTAAGACTGCTAAAACAGTCTCATAGAGACCCTGCAAAGGGTTTCTAGTGCTATACATCTTTATGGGAGCAGTATAATATCAATACTTGAGGTTTTTGCTCATTTTGATTTCGGATACTAATATATCATTAAAGATTACTAAAACATACTGTAATGTACTCAAGAATCTCTAACTCAACACATCATTTCATTCCGGGTGCCACCTGTTTTAACAGATAGCAGTAGCACTGATGTAGGTTCTTCTATAAGAAACTATTCTCTCAATACCTGTTCATTTTGGATTTTTTCCAGTCGACTCTTTTAATACCCAAATTCACATATGATTCAGTGAGTTCTACATTTGATTCTCCTGAGTCAGTCGGCAGTATTCCTAGCTTGGCAGCAGATTCATAGAGAGCAATTTCATTTTTTAGTTCTGTTAATTCCTCCTAGAACACAAAAAAATGCTGAAAATTACTTGCCTGTCTGTAAATATCAAGGAAGCAGTCATTGTATCCATGCTTCAAAATGTGTGTTAATGATCAATCCGAGGCAGAAGTTTCCTCAAATACATTATCAGTACACAGTGTAACTTATTTCTAGCTCTCCATGATGAACTATCTGCTGTATGTGGTGTATGCTTTTAACTAAAACTGCTGGGTTTCATTAATAGATAGCTTGTGCTACTGGTAGAACCAATTGTAGCAAATAAACCAGGGTAAGCATTCAGACAAAAAATAATAAAACTGTAAAGAAAAAAAGAAAAAATGGCTGCAGTTAGAAAAAAGACCCAGAATTCTAGTTATAAAAGCAGCTTTGACCAACTTCATCTCAGAGGGCAGCTTTAAAGGCCAAAAAACTGCATCTAACTACATTTACATTTTTCTCTCACTTTATATTTCTGTACCTGGCCAGCATGTAGTATGTTTTTGAGCAAACTGAATTAATTAATCAGTGAACAAACAAGCAAATCTGAGTAGTTAACCTCATATGGCCTTGTCTTACAATTTGTCCTCTATGAAAAGCATCCTTCGAGGTGAAATGTAGATGGCAGCGCTTACAGGATAGTAGAAGACAAAGTAGACTGGCATGCCCGGAACTTTAGTCTTCCAGTGATGAAAAGGCAAAATGCCGCTTTCCATTAATACACGGGAAGCAGTTGGACGTGAGAGCTGGAAGAGGCTGCTCGGCTACCCTGAATGCTCCTCATGTTTGTAGGTTAGTTCATCTCTGGTACGCTCCCACGATGAAAGGTCATACCAAGTGAAGGCTATTGCAGGACTCTGCACTTAGACAAGCCTGTGCTTGCCTACCCCACAGTGTAGGGGAGACACAGAAATCTGAGGTCCAGAGAGGTGATAACATCAGTGTCTACTTTACTTACCCAGAGTCTCTTCTAAGTGGCAACATTTACCTGAAAAGCCTTGTTCATGTTTTCGCTCATAATATATGCCTTTTGTGCTTGCTGCAGCTGTAGCCGTAGGTGTGCCACCTCCTGTACTGAGCCTACAGGGAGAGAGCATCACAGGATACAGTAAATGGAAGAGGACAAAGGACCTATGCTCTGTAGGAAAACTTGAATCCAGTGAGGCTACAGAAGGTGGAGTGCTGCTTGGATCATCACCATCTTTTTAGGCACATACAGATACAGCGCCAGTGAGACCCAATGGTCAAGACCCTTCCAGCATTTGGCATGGCTCCCCCATATGTCCAAGGAGGCACTGAAGACACGGGTTACTGTGACCCTGCCCTGAACCAGTAAGCCACATCTACAAACCTCAACACTCCGGGATGTCCCTCAGTAGAAGCATAACATTTCAACTCATAAAAAGACAAAGAAAAGATTATTTGAACCCATTTCTACCCTTCCAATAAGGAAACTACATCTTGCTGCTTTTAAAAGCTTTCTAAATGCTTTTATTTCCACCATCCCAACCACCACATGTGAAAGACGCTTTCACAATTTTAATGACCTAATATTTTAAATGTACTAGGGGAAGTTCCTATTTAAAAGGGGCTTTATTAAGTTTCCTCAAAAGAAAATGTCCATCTGGGAAAAAGTTAAGCAAAATAATGATGGCATATTATGTAACTAAAGAAAGTCATATTTTTCAAAGTTTTTAATAACTTAGCAAATAATATCATGTGGCAAAAAAAAAAAAAAAAAAAGAATTCAAAATTAAGCAGGAATTAAACGGAAACCTAATTTTTTATGTAAACTGTCAACAAAACACAATACTTTTTTGTTTTTTTAATGTATACAGGACTTGGGTACCCATGATTATAGATTGCTAATTTCCTACTTAGAAGCAAGGATGGCAAACCTTTATCTCTCATACTTTGGACATGTTGTCAGAAAGGACTGGTCCCTGGAGAAGGACATTATGCTTGGTAAAGTGGTCAGCAAAAAAGAGAAAGACCCCAACAAAATGGACTGACATGGTGGCTGCTAACAGTGGACCCCAACAGAGGACCGACCGTAAGCCTGGGGCAGGACCAGGCAGTGTTCCATCCTGTTGTGTATAGGGTCGCCAGGAGTTGAAGCCAACTCAACAGCACCTGGCAACAGCAATCTTCTACTGGACTACCTCAGCTAATAGAATATAAAAAGATTTGTGAAAGGAAGTTTTTTCCCCATAACATTTATTATCTGTAATAACGTCATGTTATTCATTTTTAAAGTCTCTATCATTAAAGAGCTCTGGTAGCGTAGTGGTTACGAACTGGGCTGCTAACCTCAAGGTCAGCAGTTCAAAACTACCAGTTGTTTCATGAGAGAAAGATGAGGCTTTCTGCTCCTGAAAAGATCTACAGCCTCGGAAACCCTGTGCAGGGTCACTATGAGTCGGAATCGACTCCAAGGTACTTAACAACAACACCATCATTAATATTATGACACCGTTCCTCTTGAAAGAAAAAATTTTATATAATTGTGAGGATGGCACACGACTGGGCAGTGCTTCGTTCTGCTGTGCATAGTGTCGCTATGAGTTGGAACTGACTCAATGGCACCTAACAACAACAACAAAATTGAACTGACTACTCAGTAGCAAAAATAAATAAATAAGTGAGCAGGGAGCTAAACAGATTCTGTCATCTCACCAGCCACACGACATAGACACACATGGAGCTAGACTGTCCTTGACTTTAATACTTTCAACTTTCGAGCAACCTACTCTCTCGTACAGTGCACCAACATTCTGCTGTTCATATGCCCAAGGCTGACTTTCATCCATCAGCTAATGAAGATGGAGTGAGCTATTTTCACAGGGTGTGCTACTCACTAGCAAACTGGATAGTTCTGTCTGTACAGCAGTGTTTGTGCAAACCACTGATTCTTCTATTGCCTTTTATTTAATACCATTACATGACAATTATTAGGAAATAAAAGTGCTACTAGATCTAACAACAGGAAGCATAAATCACAAAGTTAGTACCAGAGAAAACATACTAGAAATCTTAGCATACCACATATCCATCTCTCTGGCCCCAGCTGAACAAATGGATTTAAGCCAGTTAAGTGGCTCGACCATTAATGATGGGGAGAGGAGGAAAGTAAACAAATAATTTAAAATGGAGAAATATATCATCGAAGATTGTGTCTGAAAAAGTAAAATATAAGGGGGCTTCAAAATGTTCATGGAAAATGGAACTTTATGTTTTGTACATTCAGATGTAGCACATACGCTTTCAGAAATGTGCTGTATACAAAAACTAGGAATTGTCTATGCACTTGTATTCATTTCATTTGAAGGAAATAAACCCAAACACTAATCAAAGTTATCTCTGAGTGGCAGGATCATTGGTTATTTTTAATTTTTCACTTTATATTTATGTATGTTTTCCAAATTAAAAAATGAAAATACAATACCACAAGTAAACACTAATGTTAAAAAAACAAACTAGTCACCAATGATGTTTTCCATCCCCTTCAGCTACTACAGAAGCTAGAGATCCGAGATACTCTCTGCATGATACACGATCAGGAAGCAACAGTCCAACCAGACACCTACCTGCCTGCAACAAGCTGGCACACTGCTTTTGACTCTCCTCGAGGCTTCTTGTCAGCCTGTTAATGATCTCAGTCTTTTCTAATTTGGTTGCTTCTAGATTCCTTTCCAGCTGTTTGATGTGATCCTTTAAACGAGAGCAAGTGTCTTCCTAAAACAAAAAGGTATCCAAGAAGTCACTTCCATTTTCATTCTCACTTTCATTTAATATTCAATTAAAAGCTACAATGCATAATTGGAATTCATTTTTAAGTTTATATTGTGAGTTGAGTGAAAGTTTACAGGACAGATCATCAGTTTTACATTCAACAAGTCATATACTTTGCTTCATTACAATGATTATAATCCCCTCCATGTACCATCAGTTAACAGTATTTCTATTCATTTTAGCTCTTGTTTTTTTAACACTCAGGCATATATAATAATTTACACCATCGCAGAGCACATTCTGCAAGTCTGCAGCTCTCTGTCCCTCTCTTCCCATGAATCTAGAGTCCTCAGCTGCTCCCCTTCTCCATGTCCCCATCTTTGCCTCCATGTCTGGTGTCACTGCTTCTTTGGATAGGGTCCTGCATTCTGCTTGTGCTCTTCTCCCTTGATTGCACAATTGGATTTTAAATCAAATACCTGTTTTACTGGGTTCGGTGCACAGGATTGGGAGACAAAATTATGTGACCTTGGGTGAATCAAGTTTCTCTGTTCTTCTTTTGTAATTAAGCTAAGAAAGGTTGGTTGCGATGATTTCTAAAGTGTCTTTCTGCTCTACATTCACAAGATGCTGTTATTCTAAAATTAGACAGTATTGAAGTCAAAGGAAATGCATTACTTCCCATACACATCTTATCCTGTTGTCAGTATCAGTGTGGTGGTGGTGGTTATGTCCCGTGGAGTCGGTTCCGACTCATAGCGACCCTGTACAGGGCTTCCAAGGCTGTAAATCTTTACGGAAGCAGAAAGCCTCATGTTTCTCCCGCGGACCGGTTGGTAGTTTCGAACTGCTGACCTTGTGGTTTGCAGCCCAATTTGTAACCACTACACTACCAGAGCTCCTTTAGTATCAGTGTATGCACATATATTTAGACAGGCCACTTTGAATCATGGAAATTGTACCCAACAACAACAAGGACACATGAGACTCCCTCTCTTCAGACCAGGCAAAAAGCATGTTCTATTCTGCACAGTCAGAAGTAATGTTTTCCTCCCCTGAACTTTTCAAAATCTTTCATCTGTTTCTCCTTAACACTTTTCTTTTTATCTTTTACATACTTTATTTCTCCAAGTAGTCTGGAAGATGCCTTCTACAGAGCAAGTATCCCAATAAACACTTGGAAAATGAACTGCAAACAGAAGGATTTAGCCTGTGAGTCTCTGCCTTATTATTCTCAAACACATTTTCAGGACCTTGAAGCTTTGTATAGACACTCTATATTCTCTATATATCTTCGTATAGCTAGACACACACAGACACTCATAGGCTGAACCCCAGGTGAACAGGACAACATGGCAAAGGCAAGGGCGTGAGGGAGTGAATTGTTAATTGACTTGAAGTTATCTAAAAAAGACTGAAGTAAATAAGTAGTAAGCGGAATAATCAGCAAGGACTTCAAGGGGAAGAATGTGCAGCCTGATCTACAGGATAACCTAAAGACCAGTAATGCCTAAGGATTCTAACACAGAAGTTTCTTAAGGACCGAGAAAAGGGACTCTGAAGTCTCCTGTGGATTTTGTCTTTTATTTCATGTGAGGAACTCCGGTGGTACAATGGTTAAATGTTCAGCTGCTATGCGAAAAGTCGGCAGTTCAAGCCCACCAGCCACTCTGCTGGAGAAAGACATAGCAGTCTGCTTCCATAGAGATTACAAGGCCTTGGAAACCCCATGGGACAGTTCTATTCTCTCCTATAGGGTTGCTATGAGTCCGAATCGACTCGATGGCAACAGATTTGGTTTTATTTGGGGGATTTTTTTCCTTTCACTTTTTTCTCCCAAATATTTTAGCAAAATGAAGCTATGGAAACTGGTCCATATTTATTCATCTCTGAAAACCTCTTGCCACACTACTGCAGAGTCCTGTGCCAGCTGGAGAAACATGATTCTGAGGTGCCAAAGTTGCATGGCAGACACAACGAATGAGCTGATATGAATGATGATGGTACGAAGGTGTGTGCAAGAAGGGGTGGGGAGACAACAACATTTATGTGCTGGGGAGGTCAAAACAGTTTTACAAGAGGTTGGGAATTGCCAAAAAGTTTAAGGAAAATGGGAGATAATGAAAAACACCGTCAGGAAAGAAAAGGCAGAGGTTGGCAATAATTTGACTTATGCAACAAACAATTAAACTGTGGAGTTTCCTGTTGACACGTTCAGAGGTGTGCAAAACTGTGAAAATTTAATACCAAAAAAAAAAAAAGTTGGGGGCTCTACTTTTTCCATGACTAGTTTGAATAACAACACAGCTCAAGTCTCAGAAGACATCTTTTACGACTGAACAAGGTAAGTGTGATACTTCAGAGGTGTCAGCTGAGTCCCTGGGAGCACAGAGAACTAAATAGGGTTCTGGTGCACAGAAAAGTGAAGATTAGACCACATGCACAGATGTCTATAGGCGTCTCACAACCAGCAGAAAGTGTTTAAAGTGGAGCTGTGAAATGCAACATTCAAGGAAAGGTAAATAGGTCAGGTGAAGGTCCCATTGCACAAACCAACGTCCATAAAGGAAGGAAAAGATAACTGCTTTCACCAAAAGCTGAAGATTTCAAACAGAGCAGAATGAGGAAAGGCTTGATGCCATCAAGGACATACCCAGAGCTCTGATTAAGTGCCACTTCTAGAAGGCATTTTGGACAAGAGAATGGCTGTAGGAGAGAGTTCTGTCATCAGGTGAACACTATGAACTCCAAAAAGTCTATCTCACTCTTCCTGTCTTCTCTGTCACATTAAAATACCCCAGAGGACCTTAGCCAAAATGGAAAGAACTGATGGAGATATGTTGGTAGTGTTGTTTTCTACCCAGAAAGTTGATGGCTTCAAGAAAACATTAAATTAATGGTATCATTTTACATGCGATGTATTTTACAATTTCACACACCCACATACACACAAAATCCAGCTATATCATGTAATATGCTGAATTTTATCTTTTAAAATATCATTAAACACAAATCAAGCTTGTTTAAATTCTGATGATTTGTTTGGTTTGTTGAACAGATGAAATAATGAATAGTCTACAATACAGTTGTTGTCCTTTCCTAACAAGAACAACTTCATACAGCCATGATTCTGTGAAGGGTGACATGAATCTCTTGTGAGTATATAGTTTTCATGGGTCTTCTACAAAAAAAACAAAAAAAAACAAACAAACCAAGAAAACTATATACTCAGAAGCAAAAGAAAATTATAGTCACAATGTGAGATGATTCATAAACTCTCCGAAGACATCAGATTAAGAATCTCTATTACTACCAAATTTCTCTATATGTCAACATCTTCTCCACTCACACTATGTACATACAATATACATGCCCCCAATTGTGTGTGGCCACTTGAGAATCACTTAGAGCCCAGATACTAGAAACTTTATTCAGGTTCATTTGGATAAGTTACCCAGTTATTTGTACCTTGCTGGTGTGGCGCTGTGGGGTAAGCACTAGACTGGTAACTGCAAAGTTGGCGGTTCAAATCTACCAGTAGCTCCTTGGAAACTCTATAAGGGTTGCCATGAGTTAGAAATGACTCTACAGCACTTACCAACAATAATACCACTATCTTCCAAGAGTTGTTTTACTTTTTTGTGATATCTGTTGAATGGAGTATACTAAGAAAGGTTTATCTGAAAGGACTCTTCAATAACTTTTGTAAAGAAAAAGAAGAGGCAAAATGCAGTATGTATGCATGTATGGTGATAAGCTAAGTAAGAAACCCTACACCAACCCTCTCTTTGTAGAACACACTCATGTACTTTGCTAATTAGACAGGAGTCTCCCTAGCTCCTAATTTCATAGCACCTTCCCAATCACGAATCTCAATTTGGATTCTGAGATAGTGAGATACTATGAATTGAAGCTAGTTACCTTGACATTGAATAAAAATTTTAGCTGAACTAACTGATAGCAAATTGACATGCCAAAAGAGATACCATAATTAACATTCCCAGAAAGAACAAACTGTGACCACTTTGGAATATGAAATTATAATATAAGTATAAGCTAACATCAGTCCTATGCTCTGTTAAGTAAACAAACAAAAAAATCAGTCACAAAACAGATGGTCGGGAAAGATCTTAATCAACAGCTTTAACATAATCTGAGGCCCAGCCAGTACAGAATCAAGGCTTTGTTCTTTCTTCTAGCCTAGGGTTCTTCCACTGAAGGGAGGACAAGAATGGAGGATGTAGTGGGCACAGGGGCGGAATTCCCTCCAACCCACCTATCAGTAAATGGAAAAATCCTTACATTAACCCAGCAGAGAAAAGACCCCTTCTTCTCTAGTCGTTCAACGAGGTCCACATTCCAAGTCTAACTAACTTTAATGCTGTCATCCAAACACAGCCAAAATTAATAAAACTAGATCTTAAATTATATTTACATTTAAATTTTCTACAAAGTAGACTTTTCCATAATCTGACATGGCTTTCCTCATTTTCCTCCACCCATATACATCCTCCATATTGATCAAAATTCACAATATTTTTCTACCTAAATGGAAGAGAAATATAATTAGGACAATATATCTAACAACAAAATAAAATCAATTCCTATAAAATGGTACACAAGTAATTTGGGGACCATCCATAATTCAAGATAACACTTGCCACAATCCCATCAATCAATGAAAACACTCAAGGGTAGGTAATTTAAACTCTTTGGAGGTTTTAATCATTTATTTTGTCTTATTAGTATGCTGAGCCATATAAAATTGCTACTAATGCAATCATATATGGTTTTACTTAAGAGAATGGAAAAATTTAGAGCTGACTGTATAAATAAGAAATAACAACAAAAATCAGGATAAATTTTAAGTGTGCTGGAATTTTCTATGCTCGCATGTCTTATTTTTCTTCTCTTTCCTTGGATTAAATTAATTCTGAAATTATATTAACAAAAATGCATTCTGAATGGAACAGAGTTTCAGAGCACAAGGAAGCCCATTATCATACCCTTAGTTTAAGAGATTGTAGCTCCTTTCGGGCAAAAGTAATAAAAATTGACTATAAAATATGCTTGAACTTCAAGCCTAGATGATTTCAGATCAAACTTTCTCCCCTATCTTATCAACTAACTACTCTCAAAATGACCTCTACTCCTAAAAACTTTTTCTGGACAGTCTTTATATGCAGGTTAATGACAAAATTCTGGGACACCCAAGAAGTGCCTTCTACCGGTTAAAAGCTCCCAAGATAACCTCTGAGATTCAGGCCAGTTTCCAACGCACTCATTAGTTTCAGTCTGGATTTATTCTAAGGAAATGACCATTCATATACTATGAACAATATGTATAAGTACACTACAAATTTTTAAAACACTAGTAGCTTGAAAACTAAGAAAACATAGACTAATCTTCTAAGAAGTAGTTTGAGAATTATGCCTTTACGTTGTATTCATAGATTTTTTTTTTTAACTTTTAAATTTCATGCACAAACTAACTCCTACTGTAAAACGTTGAAGATTTCCATGTGATGGCCCACAAAAATGTCAGTTACAAATGGTAACCAGCTCTGTTGCTAATAGTGGCTCATGTTAGAATTATCCCAACCTGTTCCTGAAGAGTGGTGACGGTAGCATCCAACTTCTTCTGTAAGGACAACACTTGTTCTTCATACTTCTTTGTGAGCCCCATAACGATGCTCTCATGCTGCTCTCTAGCTCGATGAAGTGACTCAGAATGATGAAGGTCCAGCAGTTGCTGCTTCAGGCTTTCCAGAGCCATTTCCGTTGTTCTGGATTTCTTCATCATCTAGTAAGTACACACACAACAGGATATCCAACTGACAGTACTTCATGATATGTCTCCAAGCTTTAACTCTAAAAACCAGCATGCTAAAGGAAGGAAGAGAAGAGGTCTCCCTACAGTAGGGCTAGCTCCCACCAGGCTGTGGGTTATTAGAAATATTATTCATTGAGAAAATGAATTCTGTGCTTACCCAAGGAGAATTAAAGAAGATTTTGCACAGCATGATGACAGTGTGGGTATCAGATCAGGAATCCACTGCTATTGTACTGGGCCCAGTGCAGTTTGCATTGTCCAGTGAGCAGTGTGGGACAACCCAAGTGTTACCTCACAGAAAAATGACAACTGTTTTTTAAAAGACTGATGAAACCTGCCAATGGTATTTACTAAAAATGAAGCTTTGAAAGCATTATCTAAAGGCTTGATATGGTAATCAGATAATTGCACCCTTTCCCAAAGATGTTCACATCTTAATCCCTGGAAACTATGACTGTGCCCTGGAACACAACAAGGGAGAATTAAGGTTGCTAGCAAGCTCGTCTTAAAATAAGGACGTCATCCCAGATTATCCATGTGGGCCCAAAGTAATCACAAAGTTCCTTAAATAGAGAAGACCAACACAGAAGACCCTGAGCCACTGCTGGTTTTGCAGATGGAAGGGGCCACAAACCAAGGAATGTGTGCAGCCTTAGGACAATGGAAAAGGCAAGGAATCAGATTCTTCTCTAGAGCCTCCAGAAAGAAACACAGCCTCACTGAGTCTTTCATTCTAGCCCGGTGAGACTGATGCTGGACTTCTGACCTACAGAACTGTAAATAATAAATCTGTGTTGTTTTTCAGCCATTATATTTGTGGCAATCTGTTACAGCAGCAATAGAAAATATTCTTGGGGATTCTGCTGCCTTTCGTTTATTGTGTATATACGCTACTTTATTTTTTAGTAATTTATAATATAATTGTTGTTGTTGTTGTGAAGTGCTGTCGAGTCAATTCCAACCTACAGCAACCATGTATAGGGTTTCCAAGGAGCAGCTGGTGAGCTTGAACCGCCAACCTTGCAGTTCAAATGGCTTTACAGTTTGGCACATTAACCCACAGTGCCACACCAACTTCTAATAATTTATCATTTGAAATTTATACTAAGATTACAAAGGTGCAAGCTTTTACTATATAAAAAATACCATAAAGCTAGAGCCATGAAGTATCATAGCAGGAATAAATAAATACATGAAAGTATATAGGCCAAGCTAATTTTGAACAATATTCACTTGATACTTACTGACCACCTACTACATGCCAGGTGCCTAGGTGGTGGGGAGAAAAGCTGAGGGCAATCCAATCTTACCCACACGGTGTTCTCAGTCTAGTACAATAGATGTGATTAGAGAGGCAAGCAGGGAAAACTTGTGAAAAGAAAGTCTGTGAGCTGGGGCACATTCATCAAGTAGCAGCTCACAGAAAGGACATTCTAAAGAGAGGCGTCGACACAAGTCCATAAACACAATTAGCAGACCGCTGTATTTGGGGAAAGTGAGGATGACGCAGGACCAGACCGTGTTTCCTTCTGTGTTTGTGGGGTTGCTATGAGTCAGAACCAAATTCATGGTACCTAACAACAACAGCAGGGCTCAGGTAAGAACTGAATGGTCATCTTGATGCCATACTTCAGCCCACAGATAAAGCAGGGTCAATGAAATGCTTTAGGCAAAGGAGTGACATCATCAGGACTATATTTTACAAAAATTTCTCCAACAAGATAACATTTGTAGAAGGGGTAAAGGAATAGAGATTAGTTATGCAATAGATGGCAAGAAACTCAATTTAGGGCATGGGGGGACAGAAACAGGAGACTCAACTGGACTTAACGACTGACTGGGTACAGGGGAGGAGAAAAGAAAGGTGTCTCCCCTAGATTTCTGGGGTTGATGGTTAGGGGGCTGGTAGCCTCTACACCACTCCTTCAGAGTAAAGGAAGGGGAAGCAAATACAAACTTTCAGATTCTTCTAAATTTAGTCCCATGCCAGAAATTTTGTTAAATAACTTAGCTTTACACTGTAATAGATAACTTTTATCATAAACAATCAAGACAAAATCCTTACCTGTTCCTCTTTGACTTTTAATGCCTGTATTTGGGTTTCCAGTGCTTTTATTTGTGCTTCAAGCTCTATCTCCCTTTCTTTTCCATTTTGAAAGAGTTTCTGTGACTCTCGAAGACTGAGGGTCAAACCATCCTTTTCATCTGGGACATTAAAAATGTTCATATAAATAATTTTGGACTCTTTATCAGATAGCAGATATATATCACATATAAATATTGAATTAAATTCAATTGGGACAAATGAATGCTAGTTGACTCAGCAAAAAAAAGCCCCACATAAAGAAATTAATCAGGACAGAATGTCTAAATAACAGAAGAAAATTTTTAGAGTATCAAACAGAACCATATCCTTCCAAAATCTTATTGTATCATTGTTCCAGCAAAAGACGTCCTAATAAAAACTTCAGCATCTACTTACAGGAGAAACCCCCACTAATTAGTGGCAAGCCCCCACTAACCAAAGAAAATATCTGAGGATTTATTGCCTCTTATAGGAGGGGGCATCAAGAAACTTATGGAAAAATTCCATTATCTTCTCATTCCATTTTTCCACCAGCTTTTTGAAACCTCCTCAGACATATTTGTGAGTTGACTCCACGGCACAGCATACACTTTAATTCACTGCAGTATGCACTTTTAATTCACTGAATCCTAAATTCTTCCTACATACTTTACTGTGACAATTTACAAGTTCTCACAAAATAAGTTTTATGAGGCTTACAGAAAGAGACCTATTCACTGTCAATTAAGTTTGCAATGAGCTAGAGCTCAGTCACAAAATTATTTTAGAAATGAAAGTTCAACATTGACCAAAACTACAGAAAGCACGGAGAGTAAGCAATTCTAATTGAATCTGTAGTTACTCTATGTACTTCTCCCAGATTTGGGGCAATTTTCTCTTTGGCATATCTTTTAGATGTGCCAAAGAGAAAATTGGATTAAACTTGGATTAAAACTTTATGCTAACTAGTAGGCTCAGAAAATGTTGTATTGCAAACTAAACACAATTCTCTGTGGGAACTGGAATACTTTATCCAAAGTAAACTGCATAAGGAATCAACAACCTTTTAGTACAAAATGCCATCAACAAAGTTAACTAACATTCATTGAGGCTAATAGTCTCATAGGAAAAGAAGGAGAATAAAAAGGAGGGAAAGAAAAAAAAAAAAAAAAAGGGAAGAAAATGAAATGACGGCCCTCAATTCGGACTTGAGTGACCCTGTATAGTGTTTCCAAGGACCCGCTGGTGAATTTGCCCCACCGACCTTGTGGTTCAAACCGATCTTGTGGTCTTACAGTGACACACCAGGACTCTAGAGCACCCCAAAACTGACACCACTCAACAGCTCTTATCTTACCTTTAATTATCAGAAGCTGGTGATTCAGGTATCTAATTTGACGTTCACTTTCATTTAACTTTTCAACTAAATTGTCTAGTTGTCTTTCTTTTGCTTTGTTAAGAACCTGAAGTTGAATGATCTGCATACTGTCTGCAGAATCTGCTATGAAGTTAAAGACAATTGATAATATTAAAAACATACCAAATGCAAACTTGTGGTCATTTTTGGCAGTGTTCTTCAAACTGTGGATACAACTCAAGAGAGTATTATGAAATCAATACAGTGGATTGGGACTAATACCTCTTTAAAAAGTCAAGCTTAGAACAGATTAAAGTACACCACGTAGCTATATACACTTACTTACGTAGATAAACAGTAATAAATGTATTAACTGAGTTTTAACTACTTGCTAACAAAATAATCCAATTACCTTTTTAAAAGAAGATGGGGTAAAAATGTCTTTTAAAAATAAAAAAAAAATAAAAAATCCCTGATGATTAAAAAATGTGCTAGAAGTCAACAAACTCCTCTCCAGATCTTATGGCACACAGGGCTGGCCTGGGAATGCACCAAGATAATAAGCTCCACTCTCTTCAAAGCCTGTTTTGAAAATTACCATGGCTAAGAAGCTACAATCACTAAATTCGACACTTGCATTAAGTCACTTAGCCAATTCCCAAATGTCAATTTTAGACACATGTTTAACCAACTTAAACAAACAAACAAAAACAAACCAACCTAATCAAAGGCACACTGCTTCAGAAAAGTACCAGACGGTCTTATACGTAGAAAGATTAGAAAATAAGTATGAGATGAGTACCCCGGAACCGAAAGAGTCCGAAGCTAAGTGCAGATGTCAGCCCGTTGCTGTTATACTTTTTCACCCAAGCCAAAGCCAGTTACGCCACACACACAGTGGCACTTCCTCATTTCCTCATTCCGCAAAACATATGCGCAAAGACAGGGATGGTCATGTTTGCTACTGATCCCCGTGGCTGAGGTGCATGAGGGAAGCAGGGCCATGATGGTATGCCTCTTTTTTCTTTGGCCTAGCCCAGAACACTCAAGACATCCAGTATGACTTTTTCCCCTTCTTAACATGGGTCAAAAAAAATCTCAAGGTCATACCCTAGAGGCACCGTGGCTCTCCAACATACACAAATAAGTCACTAGCTCAGGTTAGTCTGGGGTTTTCTCACCTTCTGACTTCTAACACTAGTGCATCATCCCCGCAAAGCCCTCTACTCATCTATAAACCCAATGCCATCAAGTCAATTCCAACTCCAAGCAATCTTCATGCAGGGTTTCTGAGGGTGTGGGTGCTGGATTTGAACTTCTAACCTCACGATTAGCGGTCCAGTGCTTATCGTACAACACCACCAGAGCTCCAACTCATTAACAGTAAGCACCTTTTTATTCTCATATTTGTACGTTAAAAAAAAAAAAAAAAAAAATGGGGGTTAACTGCCAAAACTGCCAAACAACTAAACCTGAGATCTCAGCCTAGTTTAAATTCTGGGTATAAAGTAATTTATGCCAGAGTTGCCTATGTACTACACCGAACCTCCAAAAATAAAATTAACAAAGTTAAGGTACTAATGGCTGATTTACTATATTACACTGGTATTTAATAAAAAAAGTTGAGATTGAAGAAAACTATATTTCATTTTCCAAAGTAGGCCTCAGTAAGAACAATGTGAAGCTAATAAAAAGTCTTAATAAAGTAGAATTACTGAAATGTAGTGAAGAATATTTTCTTTTAATTCTTTATTAAGGAAATTTTTTAAGGAGAGAGAATAGTACAATGAATCCTCATGAACCCAGCACCCAGCTTTGAGAATTTTGGACTCATGGGCAGTCTTACTTCACCTCTTTCCCCACACATCATTCCCCACAATAACATATTATTTTTTAAGAAAATCCTAGAGTTCCTATCATCTTATTCGTAAATACTTAGTATATATCTCTAGAAATAAGGGCTCTGAAAGATGTTAACTACACTACCATGGTCAAATCTAGAAAACTAATGCTTCTGGAATATGCTCAGATATCTGTTCCGCGTTCAGCACTCTGCACTGATGTTTTTAAGAAATAAATATAAACTTGATACATACTTTCATTAGCTCCTAAAAACTGCTGCTGCAGCCCTTCAAACGAGTCACTTCCTATTAGCTCCTGGGTTGGTGAGCCATCATTCTGGGAAGAGGATTGATAGGGTTTGTATGTCACTTTATAAGGCTCCAAAGCTTGACAACTGGGACTCTGAGAAGCACCAAATTGCTATTATAAGATGACAGACAAAACGGACAATTAGTATTTGGCCTTTTCTTCAAAAATTAACTGAACAGATACCTGAATTTTATGTTATAGACCTTAATTGGGGTCTAATTATAAAATTTCATATATCTTCTACTTAAAAGCAGCCCTGATTGGCACTAACAATGTTAACTGAAAAATGTAATATGCACTATGCTGTTGTTGTTGTTAAGTGCTGTCAAGTCGGTTCCGACCCATAGCGACCCTGTACAGGGTTTCCGAGGGTGTAAATCTTTATGGGAGTAGAAAGCCTCATCTTTCTCCCGCGGAGCGGCTGGTAGTTTCGAACCGCTGACCGTAAGGTTCGCAGCCCGATTCGTAACCACTACGTTGTTGTTGTTGTTAAGTACCATCGAGTCGGGTCCGACCCATAGCGACCCTGTACAGGGTTTCCGAGGGTGTAAATCTTTATGGGAGTAGAAAGCCTCATCTTTCTCCCGCGGAGCAGCTGGTAGTTTCGAACCGCTGACCGTAAGGTTCGCAGCCCGATTCGTAACCACTACGCAGACGAATCTTAATTTGTTCTTTTATTTGAGTGCATAATGGGACCAGGTTTCTACATAAGTTAATTCCAGAAACACTGAACATAGGTGTCTTTAACCCACCCCACTACCATTAAATTGATTCCCACTCCTAGCAATATTGTTTCCCGAGGCTGTAAATCTTTATGGGAGCAGAAAGCCTCCTCCTTTCCCATCGGAGTGGCTGGTGGGCTTGAACTGTCAGCTTTGTGGTTAGCAGTCCAGTACTTAATCTACAGTGCCACCAGAGCTCCTTTACATGTATAAAAAGAAAGAACGCAAATGCTGACTAACAAGATCATGTGATGCACTGCTTCATATGCAATAGATATTCAAAAAACTTTCGTGGAGTGAATACCATTCTACATTGAAAGATTAAGAGAAAATGGCTCTTAAAAAGATAAAAACAAACAAACAAACAAAAAAGACTTTGTCCCTAGGTAAGACAGAATAGCTACTAGCAAAATGAGATTGTCATTGAGAAATTCTAAGCGATAAATAATTGCATCCTAAGGTCTAAAGTCATGTAACTCTCTCAGGGTTAAAAACAAGGTGTTCGGTGTTTTCTTTAAACAATTTCATTCACTCAACTATTATATCAGGGAGCATAGTGGCTTTAGAGGATAAGCACTAGGGTACAAACCAAAAGGTCAGAGGTTCGAGCCCACCAGCCACTCCATGGGGAAAAAATGAGGCTTTCTGCTCCTGTAAAGATTTACAGCCTCAGAAATCCTACACAGGGTTTCTATGTGCAGGAACAAACTCAATGGCATTTAACAAGACAACAACTGTTATATCACCATATAAAACCTAAAATTTGTTATAAAGGTAGGGAGCAAAAACCTGAGGAAGCTAAATGCAGTCTTCTAAGCAGAATTACTGATTTAAAAACTATACTACGACATCTGAAGATTGCAGCTCATTGAAGCATAATGAAGCAGTAGAAGCCAGAGGCAGCCGTAAATGAGGACCATTATTCTTTGCTAGACGTTAAAAAAGTAAATGTTGACATTTGATTAACTGTTTCTATAAAGCTTCTATTTGAAACCGATTTAAGATCATGATTACATTAGACTTTAAACAGAAAACAGCATGACTAATCTAGCATGAGCCTGAATAAATGCGCTCCCAGGAATGTCTGTGGTTAAAATAAATCATCTTAACATTACACTTCTGCATATTTCTAATACACACGCACATGCACGTGAATGCACACACATACACAAATCTTGAAAGTCAAATTCTTAGAATACCTGCAAATGGTTCCTTTGAGGATCTGAAAAATTCATTACACTGGTTGGCTGGTTATTAAATTCCTGCTTCTGACCATTAGTATAGGGCCTAAAGTTTTCAGGAAGGTGATATAAATCAGTTTGTTCATATTTACTTGGAGGACTATAACCACTTCCACCTTCATCTCCAAGTTCTTCAGGAGGGTACCTAAGATGTTGGCCTTCATTTTGACTTGGATTCTCTTCCCAACCATTGCCACAGTTCTCTCCAACACATAAATCCCGAATTTCGTGAAAGTCCTATGAGATAGTAAGAGTCAAATGGAAGCACCGAGATCTTCTCCCACCCTCATCAAACTCATCTTCATGCCAGCTACTTACACTCTGAGATTTAGGCAGCACTTGACGCTCATTCCAGTTCATCTCCAATCCCTGAGAACGATGTGCTCTTGAGAAAAACCAACACATTAAAATGAGGGCCTAACATTTATTTGGACAGAGGTAGCACAGAGCATCCCAAGAATCTGACATGGCTTCCCTCCAAACTTCACCCTGAATTTTAATAACTGGTCTACAAGTTTCTAATTATACAAGTGATTACTAGCTGCAGAGAACCAAAAGAAAGAGACTTGAAAACTGCAATATGCAAGTCAAAGTGAAAGGCAGATCTTACGCTCCCGTTGTGCTATCCTCGCTGCAGGCAGAAGAGTGGAGCTCGGGGGAGGAGAGGTCATCGTCCAGCATGTCGTGAGGAAGGTCTGTGAGTAACTGCTGTAGCTGAGATGGAAAAGTTTGCATCAGTAGCACACCACCTTCAATACAAGGCACCAAACCAAAGCTGCCTTGGGATGGGTGGTTGTTTTTCTTTTTAATGTTTTATCGGTAGAAGTCAAACAAGCTCCTAATTTCCTCATTTAATAAATAGATTCACTTGAGGAGGGAGGATATATAACATCAGGGCATATACTGCCCCTTCATATACCAATTGCTGGAGTCCTGGTGTGGTGCTATGGCTCAATGTGCCGGACTGCAAAGTTGGTCAGAACCGCAAGGTTGACAGTTCAAGCTCGCTAGCTCCTCCTTGAAAACCCTATACAGGACTGCTATGGGTCAGAACCAACTCGATGGCACTTTAACAATACATCACTTGCGGACGAGTCAATTCTGACTTATAGCAACCCTGTACCACAGAGGAGAACTGCCCCACAGGGTTTCCAAGATTGCACACTGCATATCTCACGGAAGCAGATGCCTTATCTTTCTACAACGGAGATCCGAATCACTAACTTAAGATTGGAAGCTGAGTGCTTAGCCACGATCCCACCAGAGATCCTAGAAATGCGCATATGGTTCAACGTAGATGAGAAAAGTTATTTATAGAAATACACTAAGTCATCATGGCGGTTCAATCACTGTATTATGTTATCACAGGACAGACTTGAGTCTTAGAATCCTATTTTCCCAGCAATCAAACCTTGGGCACTTGACAATCAGACATCCTCCAGGGAACCCCAGTAGCCAGATGTACTTGGCCCAGGTAGCGAGATTAGCAGTAGCAGCAACAGGTGGCCCACACGCCCTGAAAAGCTCTGATAATGTAATATATCCTTGGGGAGTCACTAATGAATGGATAGGCATCTAATTTCAATGATGAAATGCTATACAACACTCTGCTCTTATACAACATCTGAGGAAAAGACCAGTTTTCTATAGATAGCACTCTCAAAAGCACAGCTATAAAGTTGGCATGAAAACATTTGATTTTGTTCTTTAATATTTTTTCCTAGAAAAATAGAATGATGACATTTTGGTCATTCTGCCTATATGAATGATATAGTTTATAAAACAGAATAATTCAGTCAATTTTAAAGAAAAGTAAACTGTGGAATGAATGAATAATTGTCTAATTTTTTCATTTTAGTATCTGTGGACAAATGTCTTTCTCCAAATTCCAATATAAAGTTTCTAAAATCTTGTACATGGAGAATTCAAACATTATTATGAAACAGCTAGTGGGAGACAGCTTATAATGATTTCTCTTTCAGAAATTAAACACCAGTTTAATACCCAAGTTGGCAGAGTCCCTCCAAAGTACATAAACCAGTTCTGTAATAATATGTAATAAGTGAATTTTAAAGACACTCAAAACTCTGCAAAATCTTGGGGGGGTGGAAATGAGGTGATCCTTGTCCGGTGGCAGTTTCTTGTTTTGTTTTAACTTCCTGTATCATGAGTATAAAATAAATGCCGTGTGTCTATAAGACATATCTAAATATTGTCTTTATAATCACAAATGCTTTCCAAAGTACATATAATAAAAGCTAAACAAAGATGTTAAAAAATAGTAGTAATGATAATATATCATGGTGAATATAATTAATGTCACTGGATTGGATACTTTGAAATGGCAAATTTTTTGTTTTATATATATATATTTCACCACAACAAAATGTATGTATGTTCTACGAAAGGTCTGAAAAGAATATCCTATAAAATTTGGGTATGAGAAGGGGATATATTCTTGACATGAACTAAGATTTTTTTTCTCAATCTATTTGGTTCTCTAAAATGAAACAAGAGAAAGGTATTCTTTACAATGATATTATCTTGACCTCTAATTTCATTTAACACTAACATATTTATTGCCTACCTACCTCCTTGTACAGAATAGGTCAAAATCATTTTAAAATGAGCCCTATCAGTTGACTGAAGATATAAAGAGCAAGAAATACAAAAGAACAAGAATAAAACAACACAGAAGATACCACCAGCATGTTATAATAGCCAAGTGCCTCACACAAAAGCTACCAAAGTGACTTCACCAAGACGCAAAAGTAACTCGGAAAAAGATGTACCTCTATGAGATCTTCCAAACATAGCCCAACCAGTTTCCTTTGTAAGTATACTTCACTCCTTTAAGAAACAAGACTATCCCCTCAAAATACACAATGAAAAGGAAAAACACAAAATATTTTATACTTACATCAAGTAAGTATAAAATGAATATTTTATACTTCTGCATAAAATGACGTCTGCATAAAATGAATATTTTCTTCTAAACCTTCAGTAAGATTTAAGTACCCAAACCAACAGCCAAACCCACTGCCATCAAGTTGATTCTGACTATAGCTGCACTACAAGGCAGAGCTGCGCTGCCGCAGAGGGTTCCCAAGGCTGTAAATCATGGAAGCAGGCGGGCGGCCTCAGCTTTCTCCCGTGGTCCAGCTAGGGGAGTTTCAAACCATTGACCTTTCGATTAGTCACCAAGTGCTTACCCACTGCACCACCACAGCCTTAAATTTACGGGGAACCTTGGCAGAGACATCTGAACAGCACATTTTTTACCTTCAACAGGACAGAAAGCTGCACAATCATTAAGCAGCTATTGTAACTTTCTCTGTGGCACTACAATAGCTATACTGGCATTCCAGGAAGAAAATTACTTTGAGCATAACCCATCAGCTAATAAAAATGCTGTAGATCTGTATGTAAATTTAGCAACCAGCAAAATCATGCCTGTAATACTTAGAATTCTGTCAGGTGTTTTACAATATTAACATTAATAAACAGTTTCGTTTGCCTCAAAGCAGAAAAAAAAAAAAATTCTCCATCAAGTTACTTGGTATAGCTGGGTTATATTCTTTGGCTTTTCTACTTCTCAGGGCAGACAGTAGATAGGTGAGGTGACGTCCTCCTAATCAAGCCATTCAGGTGAAATGCCGCCCCCATGCTTCCATTTTCAAGGATCAGATAGACCGAGTAAGAAGCGTTTGCCATAAAACACAAAGTTACCCTTGCAGTGTATGCTGTTGTTAGTTGTTATGTGCCATGGACTCACAGCGACCCCGTACAGGGTTTCCGAGGCTGTGAATCTTTACGGGAGCAAAAAGCCTCATCTTTCTCCCGTGGAGCAGCTGGTAGTTTCGAACAGCTGACCTTGAGGTTCGCAGACTGATTCATAACCACTATGCTACCAGAGCAATGTATACATGTTATCAAATAGAGAGTTTTAAAAATGACAAATTCTCTTCATTCAGGATCTAACCAACTTCCAAATACAGATTCAAGGACAAAGATAACAGTCTTTATTAAGGTCAAGATCTAGTCCCACTCATTAACTTTAAATTCATCAGACTGCTTTTTGGTTACAAACTAACATCTTCTCAATAGGCTATTATTGTATACTAATGGAGTTACAGGACTCCTGGTGTGGCACTGTGGAATAAAGCACCGGACCACAAGATTGGTCTGAAACACAAGGTCAATGGTTAAACTCACCAGCCGCTCTTTGGAAACCCTATGAGTCAGAACTGACTCAATGGCACTTAACAACAACCAGTAACTTACATGATTTGAGATACCGTCCCTAGATAAAAGGAGCCCTGGTCCTGCAGGTTAGGCACTCGACAGCTAAGCACAAAACAGCAGTTCAAACCCACCAACTGCTCCTCAAAAGAAACACGTCTGCTCCTGCAAAGATTTACTTGTATAGGGTCGCTGTGAGTCTGTCTATTCAATGGCTGTGGGTTTGGTTTTGGATTTTGGTTCTTAGATAAAGGTAACTTGTTATTGGTAACGTTTCTATGGAGTCCTGGTGTGGTACTGCAGGTTAATGTGCTGGACTGCAAGGTTGGTTTGAACTGCAAGGCCAGTGGTTCAAGCTCACCAGCTGCTTCCAGAAACCCTATACAGGGTCACTCTGAGTCAGAACCGACTCAACGGCACTTAACAACAACAACAACAAGGCTTCTATTAAAATGCATCCTGAACCATTCTATAAATCCAATACATTTTCACTTCACACCATTTCATCACTTAAAAGAAAAAAAAAGGGGGGGGGCATTTTCCTCAAAGAATGTTTCAATGAAAAAAACAAAAAACACTTTTGCAATAATAATCCAAGCAGAACTTCCAAAAAGCTTATGTTCAGGGGAGAATATAAACCAAAGAGTACATAAACCTTTTGTTAGGATTTCAACCTAAATGAACTAAACAAACTGGCTTCAGGTCCTATAATCCCCAATGTTCATGAAAGCCAAGAGTCCTCAGATTACAAACCGTCTAATAATACTTCTCCCAAGAGAAAACCAGCAAATGGAGTGGCCAACAGGCAGGCTCCTTCGGATCAGCTTATCTCATCAACACAATGAAAAGACTGATAACTGAAAATGAAAGTATTAAATAACACACTTTCATGGGCACAGAACAAGCAGAATGTTTATTTTAACCTGAAAACACTTAAAAACATCATCAGAAAGGCTTGATATGTGAAGGACTGGTGAAAGGCCAAAATAATTTGGTAGCAGTGGTTGTAAGAAGCTGTTGTGTCAGTTCCGACTCCAGGCGGCCCTACGTGTAACAGAACGAAACACCGTCCAGTCCTACAGCTTTCGTTTATGAATTATACTAGGTTCAGAATGATAAACAAACAAAATCCTTTTCATTAGACAGTTTTATCTTTGTGAGGAAGAGCTTGTCTCAGTTGTCACAATATCTGTTAAAGAAAAAAATTATACATATATATATGGCAATGGTTTATTAGACCGATATCAGCTGAACTATAGATGTCCCATAGAGAACTCTCATGGCACTGTAGGATAAGTAGTAGACTGCTAAACTTCAGGGTCGGCAGTTCAAACCCACCAGCCGCTGCATAGGAGAAAGAAGGGGCATCCTGCTTCCATAAAGATTTATAGCCTCAGAATTGACTCAGTGGCAGTGAGTGATGACTGATACATAATAATAGATTTTCAGGTCTGGGAGGAACATGAACTTCT